GCGTTTCTGAGCTCGGCGCTCGCGGAACTCGGCGTGGGTCGCCTGGTGGTGCCTGAGGCGTGGACACGGCCGGAAAGTAGGCGACCCCAACCCAGTCTCCACAACCAGAGGGGGCGGCGTGCACAGTCTGAGATCACTCTCACTCCTTTTAGTTCTGAATTCTTTACTCCCTGCGGCAATCTATGAAGCAGCTTTCCCAAAGACGAGCAGAAATGCATTCCGCAGAAATGAAGGCGTTATCATTCGTTGAAACAGATATGCGTGAGTTAAGGGGTACATTAAAAGAGAGCTACCCTTTTGGTTCATGTTATTGTTTTAATAAATAAAGGGATACCCAAACTGCAGAAATACTGGGATATCCCCTCCTTGCCGTATAGCAGAGTATATAGAGCCATGAGATCATTCCATGTGTCTGGATGATTGGACCAGAAAGAAGATAATGGGAACAGAGTCAGGGTCCCAGGCTAGAGTCACTGGCGCTGTTTCCAGGGGGAAATCCCCTGATCTTCTGAGTGGGAAGGATAGGGGAGTCTTCTTAAACTGACCTGCGAGACAATTTCTTGTGTTCTCCAACTCTTTCTTGTTAGAACAGCCTTCGCAGAATTGTTTCTTTTTTTCTTTCCTTAAGGGAAGAGGGTGATTTTTCTTGCTTTCTTGAAACGTTTTCTCTATTCCATGAAGATACATTTCTTCATCTTGGAGCTTCTCTGCCCTCCCCCAAATTCCATCCTGTGTCCCATTTGCTCTCTTGGAGCATACTGGAGCCAGTATGGCAAATGAGGAACTTTGTAGGGAATGCCCCCTCCTTGCCTGGTAATCACTCTTTTGGAGTACCCGTCCTCACCTGCTCACCCATATTTACGCCTTTATTCATCATTCACATCTACAGGTTTGCTGCCAGTAGTTGTAAAAGGAACGGAAAATAGCATGAGAGTCAGCTTTTTCACAGGTACATAGGGAACAATGTGTAAATACATAAAATACTATCCAAGGAGGCTATGGGGCCCTGGTGTTGCAGTGGTTAAGAGCCTGGCTGCTAACCAAAAGGTCGGCAGTTCTAATCCACCAGCCGATCCTTGGAAACTCTATGGGACACTTCTACTCTGTCCTATAGGGTCATTATGAGTCAGAATTGACATGATGGAAATGGTTTTTTTTAGGGATCAGTCCCTGGAGAAGGACTCCATGCTTGGTAAAGTGGAGGGTCAGCGAAAAAGAGGAAGACCCTCAACGAGATGGATTGACACAGTGGCTGCAACAATGGCTCAAGCATAGCAACAATTATGATGGTGCAGGACTGGACAGTGTTTCGTTCTGTTGTGCATAGGGTTGCTGTGAGTCAGAGCTGACCTGACAGCACCTGACAACAATGTAGTTTGTGTAGTAGATGTGGTTGAGTAGTATCTATGAAATTAATATCAATAGTGGTTAAATATGTCCTCCAGAATTAAATAAAGCTAGGTTTGAATCCTGGCTTATTAGCTGTGTGACATTGTGTAATTATTTTACCTTCTTACACCTCAGTTTCCTGTGCTCCATGGAGTTTTCAATGGCTGATTTTTTTGGAAGCAGGTTGCCAGGCCTTTCTTCTGAGGTGACTCTGCAAGGACTCAGACTTCCAAAATTGTTTGTACCACCCACGGGACAGACACAGAAGAGCTGATTTTATAAGATTCCATTTATATAAAGTTTAAGAGCAGGCAAAACTAAATGATTTCCTCTGAGAGAAAGGTATTGTTTGCAAAGGGCAGGAGGGAACCTCTGGGATAGTTTTGATGTGGGTTATGGTTTACATGGGTGTTACACATATGTAAACATTAATCAAGCAGTACACTTAAGATTTTGCATTTTAATGTTTACAAGCTAATTCTCCATACAAATATTAAAATAATCATTCAGAGACTAGAAATAGAAGGCCTAACTTCCAAATTAGTAGAAAAAGAAAGGAATAAAGACACATCAATTAACACACAAGAAGAAGGCAAGAAAGATGGAAAAAACGAGAAGCAAAAAAGGCATGGTTAACAGCACACAATAAGCTGGCAGAAATACATCTGAAAAATGCTGACATATATAAATATCAGATAAAATAGACATAAGGCAAAATGTTATTATGAATAAAGAGGATCATTACATAATAAAAGGCATTCACCAAGAATACGTAACATTTCAATTTTTTTATATATCTAACAATATAGCCTTAAATTACATGAAGCAAAAACTGGCATATAAGCAAAGATAAACTGATAAATTCACAATTATTATGGGAAATTTTAATACAGTCCTCAGTGATTGATAATTTTGTCAGATAAAAAATAGGATATGGAAGATTTGAATATCACAATATAAGGACAGAACTCTATCTTCAACATTTAGACAATACTCAAATATACATGGACCATTAAAAAAACACCACCACTTTTTAGGTCACAAAGCAAGTTTCAACAAAAAAACAAAGAATGAGTATTATACAGAGCATGTTTTAAAAATAACCAAAAATGTCCATATGTCTGAAAAACACACTTCTATATAATGCATGTGTCAAAGAACAAATAATAGAAACAAACATTGGGCACTGAACAATGAAAACAGGATATGCTGTTAAACCAGTACTTAGTGATTTTAGCCTTAAATATAACAATCAGAAGAAATATATTTTAAAACTCTTAATGAGCTAAGTGTCCTACCTAAAAAATAAAAAACATAATGTTGTTGTCAGGTGCCATCGGGTCAGTTCCGACTCACAGTGACCCTATGTACAACAATGAAACACTGCCCACTTCTGCACCATCCTCACAATCAGTGTTTGAGCCCATTGTTGCAGCCGCTGTGTGAATCCATCTCATTGAGGGTCTTCCTCTTTTTCACTGACCCTCTACTTAACCAAGCATGATATCCTTCTCCAGGGACCGGTCCCTCCTGATAACATGTTCAAAGTATGTGAGATGAAGTCTCGCCATCCTTGCTTCTAAGGAGCATTCTGGCTGTACTTCTTTCAAGAAAGATTTGTTAATTCTTCTGGCAGTCCATGGTATATTCAATATTCTTTGCCAACACCATAAAAAAAAAAAACCCTATAAATCCAAAAAATGTAGAAAGAAGAAAATAAAGACAACAGTAGCAAATAAAATCAAAACAAATAGTGGAGCAGTAAAGCTAAAAGTTGGTTCTTTGAAAAAACAAGTAAGATTAAAAAAACAAACTTCTAGCAAGACTGATCACAAAAACAAAAAAGCAAAACAGAGCAGCTATAAATACAAAAATTTTCAAAAGCATAAGAAACTTTTATAAACTTCAAGCCAATAAATTTGAGAAATTTTAAACAAAATTCGATAACTTCTTAGAAAAATATATCTTACAAAAATGTAAGATACACCGTATCTTAAAAATATCTTACAATAAGAAATAAAAAATATAAATAGACTCCAAACTAAAAGAGATTGAATCAGTAGCGAAATACAGCACACAAGCACTGATGGTCTTTCTGTCAAGTTCTTGTACATCTTTCTAAAAGTAAAAATCCCTATTATATGTGAACTTTTCCAAAGATGACAAAGAAAACAAAAATAAACACCTCTCCAGCTCAGTATGAGAAAGAAAATTATAGGCCAATACTCTTTATGCTCAGAAATGTGAAATTCCTCAATGAAGGATTAGCAAACAAAATTCATCAATATATTTTAAAGTGAATACATCCCAAACAAGTGGGTTTACTTTAGGAATACAATAATAATTTAATAATAAAAATTTATTATGGAAATTCGTCACATCAACAAGAAAAAGCATTTAAACTCCACTCATGTTAAGAGCTCTTAAAACCTTAAAAGCTTCCCCGTTTAAGTCAGAAACAACACAGTAAGTACCTGCTTTCACTACCTCTTTCACCATTATATAGCTATTGCAATAAACCAACATATTGCACACATATTTATACATACATACACACAAGAGACAGCACACAATGACTGTTCAGTTAACAACTTCTCGCCACAATGGCTCTTTGATGTATACTTTTGAACAACCCAAAACTACACTGAATTTGATATTACAATTTCAAGCAAAGATAGGCTCACCAATTTACTCTTCGTGCTTGTTTCCATTCAGAGAACGTCACAAGGAACAAATCTGAATTGTGCAACTGTCTGAATGCGTCCCAAAAGTTATATTTTGCTGAGAAAAAGGAAAAAAAAAAAAAGGAAACAAAGGTGGAGTCTTCAGTTGTTGTGCGCAGGTGCTACACATTTTTTTGCCTTTATTTTGCCCTAAAGGTGACTTTCAGTGTTATACCTCTATTTTAAAGTGTAGCCTGAATAGAATATGACTATGAGCCCTTTGAAAGTTGAAAACTTGAAGAAAATGGTACAGAAGGAAAAACGTACCTTCCAAAGAATGACTCGATCTTCTTCCTCCTCCACCAACTACTCCCGCTATCAAGTCTTCTCTTTCCCGTTTGGCAAGTGCAATAAACCTGTAATACATTTTACGTACAAGCTGAATTTTTTGCTTACTTTCAAATTGGTGTTACTTACTTCATTTTTTTTTCTGTCTGAAAATGGTTTCGGTAATTTGGATTGGAATGCATCATAATTCTTCCCGTTAAGATTAATGGAAATATTTTGTTTCAACTAACGACTTTTTACTTGACGGCAGGGCTAAGCGAAGGACAAGTTTGTAGCTGAAGTTCAAGGACTGGAAAGAAAGCGACTTAACTGTCCACATTCCCAAACTGCGGATAGCTCCCCACCCCCACCCCGACCCTCACCCCGAGATAACTATCGAAACACGACTTAGTAAGAGCCCGGCCAGGCTGCGGTAACTAGACCCAAGAGGCACAAATCCCGGCGTTCCGCCTGCGCAGAGGGGGCTGCAACTCCAGTTCCGGGGACTCGGCAACGACGTGACCCACGACCGGTAGGAGTCGCCCTCGGCGAGCGGGCTCGGCAGTGCGACGGACGCCACTTCTTTGGCTCCCACCACGACTAACCACCTAACTCGCCAACATGGTTGAAGCGGATCGCCCGGGGAAGCTTTTCATCGGCGGGCTCGACCCTGAAACCGACGAGAAAGCCCTCGAGGCCGCGTTTGGCAAGTATGGCCGCATCGTCGAGGTGCTCTTGGTGAAAGACCGAGAAACCACCAAGTCGAGGGGCTTCGCGTTCATCACCTTCGAAAGCCCAGCAAACGCCAAGGCCGCCGCCAGAGACATGAACGGCAAGTCCTTGGATGGTAAGACCATCAAGGTGGCCCAGGCCACCAAACCGGCGTTTGAGAGCGGCCGGCGGGGCCCGCCGCCGCCCCG